TTAAAAGGTAAGTTATTGTCTACTAATAAAATGATTCTTCAGTAAAAACTCGTAAATTACTAGGAAGATTATATGAAACTTGTTTATTACTTCAATTATAATTCTGTACATTCTGCAACTTCTATATGCTTTGCATGAGATAATGATACTATGCGTCGAGATGCACGATACTCGTATAACCCTATATGTGGATGTTTTTCTAATAAATATTTATATGCACTAACAAGTTTATCAATATTTTCTACTGTTAGTTCTATTGGTCTTGTTTCTGGGTTCAAATCAGAAAGTTTATACATCATTTGTCCCAACTCGGTTCGATTTTCCAGAGGAAATAATGTTCTACAAAACAATAAAATATTTTAGAATTACGTTAATCTTTAAATGTTTTCACAAATATAATATAAAATAAATCTCAGAATGCTTAATGTTTAAAAAAGTATATAAAAAGTATTTAATGTGATAGCATTTTATATGAACTATACTTACTCAATACCTCGTATACTATATTTTTGACGAAAACTAAAAATATGTCGTGTTACTTTTTCGAAAATTTTAAATTCATGTTGTGTACGTGGGACAGTTAGTGGTACAAATGTTATAAGTGCAACATCAACTTCTGGTTTGGGAATAAAGGCTGTACCTATATTTTCAAAGAAATAACAAAATAAATTTTGTTAGTAACAGAATTCAAAAGTATTACGAATTATAAAATAAAATGTGAATAATTTACCAGGTATAACAAAATGCATTACTGGACATGTCCAGGCTTGTGCCATTACAGATAATCTACATCTTTGTATACTCTTTGGTGGAGCTACTAAACGCTCACCAACTTCTTTTTGAAATGTTAATGTCATTCTAGTTCTTCCAAATTCCCAAGGACCTCTTTTTTCACTGATTGCATGTAACCACTTTATTATTAGAGGTGTTGATACATTAAATGGTAAATTACCAATTAATTTAATTTTTGGAGTTGTATCTGACCAAGGTTTTGCTTCAGTCATAGGGAAAACATTATTTAAATTTATTTTCATGATATCATCAAAAATAATCTCCATTTTTCCATTAACTGCTGCAAAAGCATCTGCTAACATTTCTAATGTAGGTTGAAATCTTTTGTCTTTTTCTACAACAATTAATTTTCTTGGTTGATATTTTAAAATTGATCGTGTCAATCCACCAGGACCAGGACCAATTTCTAATACATGATATTCACCAAGATTTCCTGCCTTTTTTATTATTTTGTCTGTTAAATTTTCATTTAAGAGGAAGTTTTGAGAAAGCTGTTTCATGGCCCTTAGTTTATATATTTTCAATAACTCTCTTATAGTTGGTAAAGGTGGTAATCTTAATGTGGCTATTTTTTTATTCATATTTATTTTTTAAAAATAAACGCAAGTTTAATACGGTTTATTTATTAAATTTAATATTTATGCATTCTACAGTATATTAACATTAATTTTGTTTTCCAATTGGTAGTATCATATTTCATAAGTTAAGAATATAATCTTAAGAAATGTTAGTTTTTAAGTAGATTGTTCTATTATTTTCTCAGGTTCATTCAAATCATCCAAAAAAGTTTCTTGCCTCACAGCATGTATGGTATACAAGTAAATTCCTAGTGCTATACCACCTAAAGAAATACCTAAAATGCTACACTTTAAACGAGTGTTTCTATACTTTAATGCTTTTTGAAGAGCTATTTCTTCTGCTTGTTTCATATATATTATGTCAGAATATTTCAATTTGCTCTTATCGTTTGTTGCATCCAGTTTTTGCAGAAAATCTCCATCTTTATTATCTATAAACAAAGTATTTGATAAGCAGAAAATTAATCGTAAAATATTATTAAAATAAATAGTAGTCTTGCCATTCACCAGGTTGCATTTTTTGAATTGGCTCTTTTTGTGATTTTATATACAACTGAACTATTCCTTGCTGTTTTCGATATTGCGTTTCTGTTTTTGGAAGAAGAAGTTATATAAATACGAGACGTAATTCCATAACTTTTACAAGTTCAATTAACATAATTAAAATATCTATTACACTTATATAATAAATTCAAAAACCTTTTTCTTATTGATATTAGTATTTTCTACTAATAAATAGTGAAATATTCTTTAAGCTACACGCGATTTTCTTGTGTTGTAACGATTAAGGTTATACTGAAATATGGTAGTCTCTAATATATAAAAACTATATATCGTTCATTATTTAAAATATAACACTAAACAATGTATAAAATGTATCTTTTACAGTATAATTCAAGTGATCGTGTTAAAACACGTTATATATTTACCTTTGTATTTAAGAAAAAAGTGAGAATGCTTTTAGATTATAATATCCCAAGTTTCAGGCGCATGCGTATTAAATCATGTAATTTCGTTATGATAGGAACCTCACGGAAACACTATTGTTAAGGAAATTTTACTAAAATAGTAATTTAATCACTAAATTATTAATAGGAATCCAATAATATAAACAAAAGAAACAGGATTTAATCATGTTAAAAAGATTTTAATTTTAAACATCAACTTCATAAGGAAAATAAAAAAATGCAATTATTTATCAACAAATCAATTATTTATTGCGAGATAACTGTACAAAATATATTTTACAAAAGGATACAATATACCAATAATGTTTTATAGCATTTTGTAGTCGATTTATTTCTCCCTTACACACCATGTTAATTTGCTTTTGCAAAAATATCATCGTTTAAACAGTATTCCATTACAAAATTAAATAAATGAAATCTGGAAGTCGCTAGTGTAGTACTATGTACAGGATAGACCTAACATCTTATGAGACTGTGTCCATGACACTGAGGCTGAGAAGACCCTTACCATTATACATAATATGTATATTCGTGTCACTCCCAACGTTTCTGATTTAGCATAGAATAAGATTACACATTAGCAATGATTTTGGAATTCAACGTAACTATGAAATTACAAATAAGAAAATAACGTAATTATTTATCAATAGATGATTCATCACATGCGCGTGTTTTACTGTTGTCAAAAAATCATGAACAGTTCTACTTTTCTTATTTAGTCATGCTTACGACGAAATATAACTCGTCGAGGTTTCTAGCAATACAGAAATGAGTAAGACAAGGAAAGGAATACGTGTGGACAAGGATAGCACTAGAGAAACGAGTTAGACAAGGAAAAGAATAGGAGTTGACAAGGATAGCACCAGAGTAATGAGTTAAACAAGGAAAGGTATAGAGACAGACAAGGACAGAAAATTTGAAAGGTGAAACTAACGTCATCTAGCGTTTAGTGACGTGAACTACGACTTTTTAATAGGAACACAGAATGTTAACAGAGGTATTAGACAAGGAAAGCACTAGTGTGCGAGAAGGATAGAGAGAAAATGGCTGACGAGCCGCTTAGTACCGCCATTAAGGTCTTAATTTAAGTCGGCCGGTGAAAAATCATTAATAACTCATTATTTACGAAAAATTTGTGAACTTTTAATATTGAAAAATGAAGTATGAACCTGTAGCAACTTTCTCATATAGGTTTGAAGGTTCTAGGTCTTTTCAATAATTAGTTATTAATAATTGTTGTGCAAATTGTCTGCAACGATGTGACAGTCCTTTACAGTTTTTCATTAATATCATTCTTTAGTATCAATTCCCTGTACAATCTTTGTATACATTTGGAACGGAGCATCAGTGGCTACATTCTTTTGGAATTTTCAGTAACATATACGTTGTAGTTCGATAGTTATTAACCATTATTCGGGAGAATGCTACACTCGTCGAATTCAGGCGTGACACTCTTCTATTAATTTAATGGAACTTAATGAAATTGCGAGATTACTTGTATATTTTTAAGATTGTAGAATGTAGTACGGACTTTCCTTTACATTCTGCGATAATTTTGGTAAGCGTATGTCATGTGGTTTATTAAATATTAGCAATTGTTTATAACAGTTGAGCTCACCAGGCTACGCTGAGCGGTGCACTCTGCCATATAATGTTTAATAACTCGTAACCTACAGTCGAAATGTTAATAAAAATTACACGAGAAACTAGCTAAAGGAACAGGCTTTCCAATGAATGTATCAAAGTGCATGAATTATACGAGTTAAGGTACGAAAGTAATGAAAAACCGTAAGAAACTGTCGCGACATGTCGTATCGTTCCTGACACTCCGAATGAAAATTGTTAATAACTAATTATTAGAAGGATTTAGAGCCTTAAAACCTATACGAGAAAGTTGCTAGAAGTTTATACTCTATTCTTCAATACTAAAAGTTCACAAAATTATCGTAAATAATGAGTTATTAATGATTTTTCACCGACCGATATGACATGTGCCCTGTGAGGTGAACCATTGGCGGCCCGCGGACCAATAGGAAACGTTTTCTCTCTGTCCTTCTCGCACAGTAGTGCTTTCCTTGTCTAATACCTCTGTTTATATCCTATGTTCCGAGTAACGAGCCGTTAGTTCCCGCAGCCAAACACGAGATAGTGTTAGTCTTAAAAATTTGTATTCTTGTCTAATTCTATTTCTTTCCTTGCTTAACTCGTTTCTTTAGCGCTACCCTTATCTACCACTATTCCCCTCCTTATCATGCACATTTCTCTAGTGCTATCCTTGTTAAATGCTATTCAGTTCCTTGTCTATCTTCGCTATTGTTATCCTCGTTATTACTAATACGATTAATCGATACTTACAATCAAATTTAATTGTTTTAATATCACAAATAACGCAGAGAGTATAATAAAGTTTCTGATTTATTTTCAAGTACTTCAATTATAGAATAATTAGCGTTTCTTGGTAAATAACAACTTAGATGGTAGTTCATAACTATTGGAAGTATTAAATAAATTCGTTGCATGCTTTAATTTAATAAAACAGCTGAATACACTGCTATTTCATTGAATTAACCATTGTATTCACTAGATTAGTCAGATATTGTTTATAACTTTTATTAAAAATCGGAAAAATTAATGTTCTTTTTGTGTGAATTGCAGATGGAACCCTCAGGCAACCGCAGGAATCCAGAAAAGGACTACAACATCCGGAGAAATGAAGAAATGCAATTATTTGTCGAAAAATCGATTATTTATTGTAAAATTATTGTTAAAATGTATTTTACAAAAGGTTACAATATACCAGTACTGTTTTACAGCATTTTACAGTCTATTTACTTCTCCTTTACACACCAAATCCCTTTCCTTTTGCAAAAAAACCCATTGTTTAAACAATATTGCATTGCAAAATTGAATAAATTAATGCCAGACACTCCCAGGAATGCATTTTCATCGAAAAAATCGAAAAAATCCCGAAATTCTAGCGAGAAATACGAAAATTAGAGAAAGTTTTCGAAAATCGCGCGAGTACACTCGTTCGGTGCTACGGTCCTCGAGAATTCCTGGAATTTACGTCATTTCTCGGAAATGACGAAATTTCCAAGAATCGAGGCGATTCCAAGAATTGACCAATGGGCCTTCGAAACTTTCGGTTCTCGAGAATTCCTGGAATTTTCGTCATTACCGAGAAATGACGAAAATTCTAGGAATTCTCGAGAACCGAAAGTTTCGAAGGCTCATTGGTCAATTCTTGGAAACGACTCGATTCTCGGAAATTTGGTCATTTCCGAGAAATGACGAAAATTCCAGGAATTCTCGAGAACCGAAAGTTTCGAAGGCCCATTGGTCAATTCTTGGAATCGCGTCGATTCTCGGAATTTTCGTCATTTCTCGGAAATGACCAAATTTCCGAGAATCGAGTCGATTCCAGGAAGCGACCTCCTTTCACATCATGTTCGCCTATTAGAAAGTCGATTTTCGGCCAAAAATTTTCGAAAGTCGGAAATTCTCATTTTGTAATAGGCGAATATGATGTGAAAGGAGGTCGCTTCCTGGAATCGACTCGATTCTTGGAAATTTTGTCATTTCTGAGAAATGACGTAAATTCCAGGAATTCTCGAGGACCGTAGCACCGAACGAGTGTACTCGCGCGATTTTCGAAAACTTTCTCTAATTTTCGTAGTTCTCGCTAGAATTTCGGGATTTTTTCGATTTTTTCGATGAAAATGCATTCCTGGGAGTGTCTGGCATTAATTTATTCAATTTTGCAATGTAATATTGTTTAAACAATGGGGTTTTTGCAATAGGAAATAGATTCGGTGTGTACGGGAGAAGTTAATAGACTCTAAAACGCTGTAAAATAATACTGAAATATTGTAACCTTTTGTAAAATGTGTTTTGTACCGTTTATTTAATTTTGCAATGGAATATTGTTTAAACAATCAGTTTTTTGCAAAGGAAATGGACATGCCGTGTAAAGGAGAAGTTAATAGACTATAAAACGCTGTAAAACAATACTGAAATATTGTAACGTTGCGTAAAATACATATTGTACTGTTTTATATAATTCTCCAATGATATATTGTTTAAATAATGAGGTTTCTGCAAAGGAAATGGACATGCTGTGTAAGGGAGAGATAAATAGACTGTAAAATGCTGTAAAATAGTACTGGTATATTGTAACCTTTTGTAAAATACATTTTAACAATAATTTTACAATAAATAATTAATTTTTCGATAAATAATTGCATTTCTTCATTTCTTCTGATGTTGAAACCCTTTTCTGGATTCCTGCGGTAGCCTGAAGGTTCCATCTGCAATTCACACAAAATGAACATTAATTTTTCCAATTTTTAATAAAAGTTATAAACAATTTCTGACTAATCTATCGAATACAATGGTTAATTCAATGAAATAGCAGTATATTCAGCTGCTTTATTAAGTTAAAGCAAGCAACGAATTTATGCAATATTTCCAAAAATTATAAACTACCATCTAAATTGTTATTTATCATGAAACGATAATTATTCGACAATTAAAGTACTTGAAAATGAACCAGAAATATTATTATACTCCCTACGTTATTAGTGATGTTAAAACAATTAAATTTGATTGTAAGTATCGATTAAACTTAATAGGGATGACAATTTTTATAAACATTTGCTAATATTTAACGAACCGCATGACATACGCGTACCGAAATTATCGCAGAATGTAAAGTAACGTCCGTACTATATTCTGCAATCTTAAAAGTATACAAATAATCGCACAGTTACATTAAATTCCATTAAATTGACAGAAGAGTGTCACGCTTGAATTCGACGAGTGTGACATTCTCCCGAATAATGTTTAATAATTCTCAAACTACAACGTATATCTTACTGAAAATTGTAAAAGAATGTAGCCACTGATGCTCCCTTCCAGATGCATATGAAGATTGTACTGGAAACTGATACTGAACAATGATATTAATGAAAAACCGTAAGGGACTGTCGTATCGTTCCCGACAATTCGCACAGAAAATATTAAT